AGATGGGCCAATAATGCGTTTAATGTTATAAAAATAAAATTTTAGATCAAAACTGCCTATTTTTTTCCTCTTTTGAGCCAAGTTTTAGTACTTGTGTTGGTAGTATTGCAGAAAACTGTAATCCCATTTTACAGACACCTAACTTGAAAAATCATATTGTAATTTTAAAAAATCTCCTAAATTGTTAAAAAAACAGAAAATACACTTTTGTCTTGTATACTGTGTCAACAAAAATAAAGAAAAAAGAATAGTTATTAATTCGACGAATTTGAGTGTAAATCGGACGCTTTATTTCACGAGTGGTTTATCATCCACGAGTTGAATACAACATTTTTTTTCTTTAACAAGGCTTAAAACTGCTTTAAATCTGTTAAAAATAATCAAAACTTATTTACAAAGAAGAAAACCCTAAATTTTGACATTATCGAAAAATAGAGATATTTTTAACGCGTCAAAACCTATAAAATTACTAATTTGAGTTTAGTCCATTTAACAGATTTTTTAATTCTGATTGAATCATAGCACGTTTATTTGTGTATTTATCAGTTTAAATTCTTCATAAAATAGTGAGAAACGTATGAGGGGACAAAAAATTAACAAAAAAGAAGTGGAAGGTCAAAAAAAACTCATTCTGACTATTAACCAGTCATATTCTTAAATTTTTATTGGAAGTAATTACAAAAAAATAGAAAAGTGATCACTCTCTGTGAATTAAGACGTAAAATGCTAGACACACTAGAATTGTAAACTGAAAAAAACAACTTCAGTCAATAAAAATCAAAGTACTTAAATTTGTTACCTTAAATGTTGGGTATTCATTCATTAAAATAGTAACCATACCCACATAGGGTAGAAAACCTCGGGCTCTCCCAACCACGTCTTTTTTTGTTAGCCACAATTGACCCGGGGCGTACAACCCCCTATCATCAACACTATTATTATCACCCTTTGTGAGGAATTTCACTGTACCATTTTCCCTAAAAAAACTCAAATAAAACGCGGTTTTGGCCCCCAAAAACCTACTTTTCATGCAATTTAAGTACTCTATGAACAATTGGAATGTCCCTGCCCTCGACTTTGAACACAACAATCTCTCCAACTCGCACCGGCTCTTCGGGGTAATTTGTCAAAAACAACAAATCTCCCCGATGAAAAGCCGGTTCCATACTACCCGAAAGTACCACAACAATGGGGCTTTCGCTACCCGTGACTACCATTAATCCCTTCCATATCATAAGTGCCGATGATACTATCATACCAAAACTTAAAACTTGATAAAGAAACTGGAAAAAATGTGATTTTAAATTTGGTATAAATAACGCTATTTTGACTTACTTGTCGCTTATTCATACGTTTAACATCGTCGAAAAGTGTCCCTATGTCCATTTTTATGGATAATTAATAAAAAGCCCCACAAGATGGTTTGAAATCCACGTCAGAGGGGCAAACGTAAATAATTTAATGACAAGTGACATTTGACACACCAACACGACAAAAACAAAATCACTAGTCAATTTTATTAAATTTTAAAATTCAGTTTTTGTTAATGAATATTTCGGTTAGGGCTTCAGAGTCGGTTTTTTGGTCGATTTCCTTCTTGCCCCATTCCGATGCAATGCTTTGTAGGGTTTTCAAGTCGTCTAAACTCTGTTTGACTCTTGTCAGCTCCAAATTGCACATATTTTCCGTTTCGGTCAATTTTCGCTTGTAATTTTGCAATTCCAGTAATTGTTTTATAGACTGTGGTTTGAATTTATCGTACAAATTGTAACTTTCGCCACTTCCGAGACTGTAAAGACTATTTTTACTCTCGGATTTAGTCGAATGAAGAGCACACATGCATTTCAATTCCTGTTGCATTTGAAGAACCCGGATTTTTTCCATATCTTCCTTCCATAATTCTTTTTCGAGTTTCAGCTGTTCTTTCAAATTCATGATTGAATTCTGCAACGAAGTCATTCTTTGACGAAGACGTTTCTCGTTTGACTCGAAAACAATTTTTTCCGATAGTGAAACCTCGCTCCCAGTTTCACTTGACTCCGGATCGGTTTCGAGTTTTTCTTCAGACATTATTCACAATTTTCAAAGAAAAAAATAACTTGAAATGAGCCAACTTAAACGCGCGCAATTTCAAAACTGGGGTTTTTTGCTATTTGGGTTGGTTACACCGGCGCATGGTTCTTTTCGATTTTCGTGTGTTGTACTGTCAACATGAAGTGAGTATTTATCTATTTTCTCATTTATTTCAATCATCTGATGCTTTAATTGGATTATTTTTGGAGAAATTGTTGATTTTTGTGATTGGAATTACATTTTTGGTGTTTTTTTTAGGATTGGACTTTGTGCTTACAGTGGGTACAAAATATACCCCGGTCATGGGAAAACCATGGTAAAAGTCGACGGAAAGGTAATTTTACCATCTACCACACTGATTCAAGTCTAATTCACCCACCCTTTAAGTGTGGTAAATTATTGATTTGACATAACCTCACTTTCTAGACCTTCACTTTCCTCAACTCAAAATGCGAACGTGCGCATTTAATGAAGCGAAATCCACGTAAAGTGACGTGGACTGTCTTGTACAGACGTAAACATAAAAAAGGTCAAGAAGAAGAAGCCACTAAAAAACGTACACGCAGGACCCAAAAGTTTCAACGTGCTATTGTTGGGGCTTCTCTAAATGACATTTTAGCTAAACGGAATCAGAGGCCGGAGGTTAGGAAAGCGCAAAGGGAGCAAGCGATCAGGTTTGTTGTCATTTTGTGTGAATTTGGGGTCATTTGGGGACGTTTTAGGGCCGCTAAAGAGCAGAAAAAGCAAACCAAAACTGCGAAGAAAGTGGCACAACCTGCGAAACAACCTAAAAGTGCCCCGAAACAAAAAGCCGCCAAGAATGTGCAAAAGGCCGCACCGAGAGTGGGGGGAAAACGTTAATGTATTGATTTTTGAATAAAAAATTACACCTAATTTGGGTTTTTGTCAAAATCAAGCCCGTTTGTGACCACCATTATATTTTTGTTTGTTTTTATTTAAAAATTTGAAATTTTAAAATCAAATTTAATTGGGAATAAAACAGAATTTCAAACTTGTCACCCATTTTGTTCAAGCAACCAACCTGAAAAATTTTATGTTGGCAACAAAGTTACAACTAGAACCGTTAAATTGAATTTCTTTACGATAAAATTCCATTATCAAGTAAGCAAGTCTGCAAAATAAGTTTGTATACGATGGTAGAAGACAAGAAAAATGTTACCTTTTGTTTGTACTTACATTTTTACGTTTTATTTTTATAAAACAGTTGTCTCGTTTGAATTTCCCGCGAATTGTTGGCGCTATTCTTCTGTCAACTGTCATTTAACTTAACCTAACTATTTTTAAATTGAATTCTAAAGCGTTTATTTGGTTTAAATTCTTCGTAATGGCTAGTTTTAAAGAGCGATGTGTGGAATATTTCGGTACGGATGATATTTATGAGATATTAGGCGTCGAACATGATGCTACAGAGAAAGAAAGTGAGTAGGAATAATTGATGATTTTTTTCTAACTCGAATTTTTTTAGTTAAAAAAGCTTATCACAAATTGTCTCTTTTGGTGCATCCGGATCGAGTTGATGACAGCAAAAAGGCGTTGAGCACCGAGAAATTTAAAGTCCTTGGGAAGATACACACAATTCTTCAAGACAAAGAAAAGAGGAAGATTTATGACGATTATGGAGAGATTGATGAAGAAACCGATTCCAGTTTCAATTGGCTTGATTATTGGAGGGCTATTTTCAAGAAAATTGATGTTAAAGTGATTGAAGAGTATGAAAAGAACTACATTGGATCTGAGACTGAATTGCGTGATATTAAAAAGGCCTATGTTGCTGGTAAAGGCAACATGGACCTGATTTTGGAGATGGTACCATTCAGCAATTGCGATAACGAACCAAGAATTTTGGAAATTGTGAGGAAAATGGTCGATGAGGGTGAAGTTGAAGAATATCCAGGATTTTTCAATGAATCAGCAGCAAAAAAAGCCAGAAGGAAGAAGAAATATGACAAGGAGAAGAAAGTAGCAGAAAAAATTAACAGTAATACGTTTTTTTGTACCAATTAAATCTAATTATTGTGATTATTAGGACAAACTTTGGAGGAAGAAATCAAGTTAAATAACGAGAAACGTTTGAAGGGTTTTGCTGACATGATTTCAGACTTGGAAGCCAAGTATGGAGGAGGGGCAAAAAAACGCAAATCTCTAACAAATGGACAAAAAACTCCAGTAAAGAAGCGCAAAACTAAAAAATAATTATTTCAAGCATTTTTGTATATTTAATAAACAATCAACCAATCACATTCTTTTATTTAAGCAAGGTTAAAACAAATTGAGGTTATGTTGAGATGGGTACAGAAAGTGTGAAATTGCGTGAACTCGTACTTGAAAAAATCTCATTTGGTGAAGAATTGATCAAAACCATTGAAAAACACAATTTGGAAGGTATCCAAAAACTGAAACGTAAAATTCATCAAGAATTGAAATTTTTGGGACAGGTGAGTTTGTCTTTTGCCCCACAAGTGTGACTATTTTAATTTAGGTGATCAAAACGGGGAAAATCAAGAAGGAGCACATCCAATGTTCAAATTTGACCCATTTTTCCGCTGTCGTAAACACACTTAACAAAGTAGAAAAATGTCTTTGTGTGAATAAAGTCGTAATGTTGGACGATAGAAAAATCACAATTGATATAATCTGCGATGATGGTTTAACATGGATGAAGGTAATTGCACGAAATCCGAAATCGTTGAGTCAGATTTGTATGGGAGATGCGAGTTTTGGTGTTAGAAGTGTCTTGGATCATGCTGAAGACTATTTGGAATGTGCCAAACTCAATCCTTGCTTATTTCAAATTCCAAAGGTTAGTAGATTTCATTGAAATTGGCATAATAGGTGGCTATGGAGTTTCATATTTAAGTTGGTAGCCCTGCGCGTGTGCCTGATGGGGTTTTTGTTTTTCTTTGATTACTTACCTGAATGGTTTATTGCCTGCTCACGCTTTACCCCTACCATTTTCATTTCGTGCAGCCAGGTTCACACTCAAAAAATTAAAATAAAGCAATATTTTACAAAACATGGAAAAATGAGCATGACATTTGAAAAAAATAAAATTTGTATTTTGAGAAAAAGAAAAAAATTCATTACAACCCTAAAAAGCCATTCTAACCCCACCATTTTTTTACAGTCAAATGCCCTTTTAATAAGCTTCATTTTCTGCTAAAATGAAAAAAATCAATACACGGGATGACACTTGAAAAAAATAAAGTTTGTATTATTAACGAATTTTGAGAAAACGAAAAAAATTCATTCATTTTTTTACAGTCAAATGCCCTTTTAATAAGCTTCATTTTCTACAAAAATGAAAAAAAATCTATACACGGAATGACACTTGAAAAAAATAAAGTTTGTATTATTAACGAATTTTGAGAAAACGAAAAAAATTCATTATAACCTTAAAAAGCCATTGTAACCGCACAATTTTTTTACAGTCAAATGCCCTTTTAATAGGCTTCATTTTCTACAAAAATGAAAAAAATCGATAAACGGGATGACACTTGAAAAAAATAAAGTTTGTATTAGAAACGAATTTTGAGAAAACGAAAAAAATTCATTACAGCCCTAAAAAGCCATTGTAACCCCACCATTTTTTTACAGTCAAATGCCCCTTTAAAAAGATTCATTTTTTGCAAAAATGAAAAAAATTGATACTGGGGATGACACTTGAAAAAAATAAAGTTAATGCATAAGTGAAATACATTTGACCTTGAATCGCACATTTGCAACAATATAATTCATTTAAATTGTTATTCATGACAAAATTACATTGAAAACGTTAAAAAACTATCTACAATAGTGATTTGCAATTGAAAATGCTCATTTTTCCATGTTTTGTAAAATATTATGCTTTATTTTAATAACATTTTAATAATTTTTCGAGTGTGAACCTGGCTGCACGAAACGAGAGTGGTGGGGGAAATGCCACAACGCGACGCGAGCAGCAAATTTGGTCGACTGTAATTTCAGTCTTGCCAGCAAGCAGTGATGCCAGATTAGGGATTTTTTTCCTAGTTCTAGGGATTTTTCTAACAAAAAGTAAAGGATTTTTTACATTTACAGTAAAAACGTCAAGATTTTATAATTTTTTTCACATTGATGGCACAGTTTCAAAAATTACAAATTTTTTTTTAATTAATAGTTAGCGCACGCTAACGCGGAAACCAAAAATGTATTTTTTGTAGTTACATGTGTAAAGACAAAAAAAAGAACAAGATATTAGCCGTTTGCGTTTTTCGCGTTGCCAAGTTTACTAATTATTGCAGTTTTTTTAATGTTTTAGACGAATATTTAAAATTAATGCAATCCCATAATTATAAAGTATAAAATAAAGTATAAATAAAAATTAAGTAGGTATCTAAATATACAACTTTATTTGAATTTGTTTTAATTAACTTGTATTTTATTTTTTATCTCTTAAGTATATATTATTTATTGATTTTTTGTTGTTTGGAGTTAACACATTTTTATGTTGTAGGCCTATGAAATAGTATCTTTTTAATTTTTTTTAAGTAGTTTAGGGAATTTGGAAGCTACAATCTAGGGACAAGCGCTTAATCTCATCTGGCATCACTGCTAGCAAGATAAATCTTGCTAACTTCACCAGAATCTGAAGTAGGGTTCTTTAAAAGTAAAATTTTAACACGAAAATCTTAACCCCACTTTTTTAGTGACAAATTTAGTTCCTTAATATGTAAAGCCTTTTTCACATTTAAAGCGCGGTTTCCACAATCATGGCCACTGTTATGCCAATTTCAATGAAATGGATTATAAAAGAACGAATTTCAGGTGGTATTTGTTTTTGTTAATGGCGTAGGAAGTAATTTGGCGGCAAAAATCGAAAATTTGGGGATAATCGTCCAAGGTGTTCGAATACAAGAAACCGACATTGACAATGACGAGCCCCCAAACCTTGACAATTTCAAATTATCAACACCAAACACCTCACATATTGACAAAGTCAATTTAGACGTGTCAGCAATGTTGGCTTATGTCAGTTCAGTATGTAATGGAAGCGCCCATTTGTACCATTTTTCCGTCCATGTATTGGCCCAACAAGCCGAATGGGAGCGCCAAAGACCCCAAAAACCAATCCTAGACGATTTTTTCAAAGGAAAAAAACTCTACTGTTGTGAGACAGCAAGAGACAGTTTTATCAGTATTGTAAACACAGTCGGGGGGGTCAATGAACGAAAAAGAGCCGAAAATTTACTACAAAACATTACAGTGCTCCCTGATAATGCGACAGCTGATAATAAAGTCCAATTAATTCAAAAATTGACAATTGGTGGAAAAATCAAAGCGAGATCGTTGACGATTTTCACATTTGGGGACCGAATTGGGGCTGTCACTGTCACCTCAAATGATGGGTTTGTTCGCGCAGCGAGACAACAAGGTGTCAATTTTGTGGTTTTCATCCACGAATCACGAGCCCTAACTGAGCAAAAAGAACAAACGAGAGCGACTGGAATTAGAAATTAATTTTTTTTATTGAAATTAATAAACAAAATTACATTTCAAATTCGGCCAAAGCCTTAATGGGGTGTTGTGGCATCCTTTGTGACCCTTTCCTCACCACAGCTCGCACCTCTTTGGGTTTTTCCAGGCGTACCAACGGTTTCTTTTCGGGGATTTTCATTTTCCACACTATCGGTGATTGGATGTTGGCACTCTTGGTGTACTTTGTAGCGACATAGGAAGCCTTGACTGTGAGCACCACAGCATTCATTAAGTTTTTCGCGTTTTCGATAAGAGATGTCGCACTTTCGACTCTTGTTAAAATCAATTCTTCGTTATTGGTAGTTTGGACGTCACCTTTCACTTTTGCTATTATATTAATTTGGTGGGAATAAAGTGTCACACGTTCCAAATACGCCGATAAATCTTTTTTTGTTGTGCTTTCAGCACATTGCTCAGCGATTTGTTGCGTAAGATCGACTAGTTTTTTCCCAGTTTCGGAAATTTTATTCGCTGCGTTTATAACATCATTGGTGGTTTTCAATGGTCCTTTTTGACTGAAAAAAATCACCAAAATTAGCCATTTTACGACACAAAACTGGGGAATTACTTGATAAAATCAGTCATTTGAATCATTATCATTCCCATGTATTTCGCAAGTACCACGATATCATTACCAGCATCGTCCCATTTCGTCACTTCTTGATCAAAAGTTACTTTCTCGCTGTGGAAGTCTTCCACATGTTGCATTATTTTACGCTTGTCCTCTTCGGGAAGTTTACTCAACGCTTGCTGAAATGAGATTTTGAAATTTGAGAACCCTTTTCCCATCCTTGACGAGTCGCACATGTGCGCATTTATATCTAATTACCATAGCAACGCAACGAAATATGTTTGTTGCTATGGTAATGGCAAATGAAACGTCATTGTGCCCAGTGGCGGGTCACTTTTGTACTTACTCTAACAACAGTAATTCCGCCCACATCTTCGTCGTTTTCTTCGGGTTGTGCTAAAATTATTAATTAAAAGTGGCCCCAAAAATGACTTGTCTCACCTCTGGTCTCCATCGAGTGGCTCTCCTCAATTTCAACTTCTTCAGGGTCTAGGTCATCGTCGGCCTGTAATAAATTTAAAAAAAAATTCGTACATTTTTATTATGCTTACTCGATTCATAAGTACAGCCCTTCGGACTTCTCTGACTCCGTCGTGGATGAGTCTCGCCGTGTCGATAAAATCATTTTCGTCAATTTCTTGTCCATTGTTGATGATTTTGATCATCGTTTCAGTTTTCCTTTCAAAATCTTTAATTCTGTCATTTAGGACTTTAATAGCTTTCAAAACTTGCTTAGTATAGGGGCAAGAATCGTAATTGTCCATTTCAGAAGTGACCATTTCGCAAATCCTCTTGGACCGATTTTTGATATTGTCAAGAATTTCGCGAATTTCCTCCGGATTTCGGTCTTGCAACGCTGCAAGACATTGATTCATATCATCAAGAATGTAGTTTTCCAAAACTGATAAAACATCATCCACTGTTGTTATATCATCAACAGCTTCGAGTAAAATTTTCACTTGATTCTCCCACTCGTTTTTGAACATGTCCATGTTTTCTTGGGCGTGAAGACTTTGGGGCTGTTGTGCCAGAATCCGAGCTGCGTTGATCACCTGGGGGCGCAGGATTTCAACCAGTGAGACAGCATGGCGCACCATTTTGACCCCATCTTCGTTCGTGGAGAGTTGACAGACTTGGTTTGCGACTTCGACAAGTTTGGAACAGTATTGTGTGAAAGTGGAAGTGCAAATTTCAACTTGTTTGAGGTCTCCAGTTTGAGCTGCGTGATAGAGGGCTAAAAAGGGGTCATTTGTGGGGGCAAAAACAGAGGTGATTTGGTCAGCTACGGCTTTGCATAATTGACGTTTCAAACTTTTGGTTTTATTACCAATATTGGTTTTGGTTTTGGTAACTTCCTTCTCATCCATTTTTGTAAATAGATGTTGCAAGGCGTCTTTAAGTGCCTCACAACCGGTTAAAATTTTCTCTCTTCGTTCATTTTTAATACTTTCTGAGCCTGAAATAAGTTTGGCATCGTTGATTAACTCATCGAGTTGTTTTTCGAGGGTTATTTTATCGTGTTTGGCATTAATAATGTGTTGAAACTGTTCTAAATTCAATGCAAGTTTTCCTGCTTTGTTGTCGCTTCCTCCCTCCTCAAAATCCCCTTTTGCGACTTTACTAATCGTGCTAACTGCCTCACAAACTTGCCTCAAAACCTCCTCACGATTTTCCCGCGCTTCAATGATTTGCGAATGCGAAATATGGACTTTAGTCGCTGATAGAAGCATAGTTGAGGTTTTTTTGAGGATGGCTCTTGCCGCAGCTAAATCATCTTGCATTTGAGGATCTCCCAAATCGTGTTGGCGTTTCGCCGCTTGTTGGATCAAATTATTGGCGTTTAGTGTGAAATTTTTGAAGGTTTTGTCAAGCTCGGAGTGTGATTTTACCTCTCGGAGTTTCCTCAAATCAGCTTCGACACTTTGAGTGGTTTTGAGGAGGAGTTGCACGTCGAGCATATCAGCGAGGATTAAAAGACGCGTGACGGATCTTAGGAGATTTCGGGCGGATTTAATCAACTCGCTACGTTGGGTGGTGTTGCAAGGGTTGGCGACGAAGTCGCCAGATGCCCCAATCATGACTTTTCCGGTAGAGCGAATTTCCTCGATCACTGTTGTTAGTTCTTGGGCGACTTGGGGGTTTTCATCAGCGATTTGTTGGCCTTTTTCCATGAAGTTGGTGATTGATTTTTCTAAAACACTCACAAGAACTGTGGATTTTTTCGATTTGCCACGCCTTTTTTTGGGGGATTTCCCCGGATCCATTAGAGTTGTCACGTGGTACACTAGGGGTTCGAGTTGTTTTTCCACAGCTTTGGATTTCACTTCCCAGTCTTTGGGGTCCCATTTTAATTCGACTTTTGCACTCATTGCGACTGAATTAACACACCTTTCACTATTTTTTGATGAATCAGAGATAACAAACTCTCCTAATCGAGTCTTATCTTGTTTGATTACGAAGCACGTTCAAAAAAACAACATTTGTTTCAAAAGAATTTTATTATTTACAAGTTAGGTATTTAATATCCGTCATCAGACCAAGTGATGTTATAATCGCAATAGTGTTTTTTCAAAATATCAACAGTAATCTCATGGTTTGCTTTACCATAACCTTGAGAATACCCATACACTTTGATATTTTTTCCCTCTGAATCGTGATTAATTCGTCCACCTCCCAAGACTTTTGTACGCCAATCTCTGATAGTTTTCGCTGATTTTAAATTTTGTAATTCTTCGGTGACTTTATCGTTGATATCGGAGTGATAAGGACATGAAGCATATCCTCTTACGATGTTCTTTTCCTCAATTTTGCCATCAGTGTTGGGACATGTGAGTTTGATAAGGATGTACTTGAAGACGCCGTTTGGGTCGATATCAGCGTCGGGGACTTGGGGAATAACAGACATGCTTCCAAAACTAGAAAAAAAAACAAGGTAAGAACTGATAAACACAAGTATTGCGACTTGTTTAATTTAGAAAACTAATTATTATTAGTAAGTTATTACTTACCACCGGTAATGACACAATAACCTCGCTTTTGGGAAATTTGACAACAAACAAAATTGTGACATTTCTCGGTTTGGGGACTTTGGAATTGTTACGTTGAATGTTATTTTTTATTTAGACAATTAACTCTCAGCAAAAATTATTAGATGATTAGAATACAAGTCTAATTTTGTGCTTCAAGTTTAAAATAGTATATTAAAGAACAAGTTTTATAAGGGTTGATTATTTTTGTCGTCTAGAGAATTTTGTGTTTGTTGGTATCGATTGGTGACACTCGGCGCCCACCTGATTTTTTGAATTACTTCTGCCGTCTGTCATAAAAAATAAAATTTACAAATTATTATAATAATTACAACATAATAATAAATAAAATATGAGCCAACAGAATTTAGTTTGCACTCAAAATTCGTTACCTGATAAGTCAGAAGCGGCATACAAAAACTAAATAACCCTAAATTTATTAAAGACAGTGTGACTCCTACTGAGAGACGTTAATAATTTTTTAAATGGAAATTACCAAGTCAAAATTTTGGTGAAAAAATTGGTAGCAGCTTGTCTCCATAGCCACAAATTTTGATTGCTCTTATTTTTGTCCCTAGAAATTTTGTTAAAAAATTATGGTTATGTATTCAAATTGAGATGTCAAAATTTTGACTTTTATGAATTTTGTGTGCGTGTTTGCTCTTTGAAAGCGCTATAATTGAATACCTGAGGACAGACATCATTACCTAAGGTCTAAAGACTATTAATTTTGACAGAAACACACCGCAAGTAAGTACAATGTTGTGGACAAAAATGAGATTCTTGCTACAAAAACTTTGAAGAAAAAGGATGTTTATACAGAAAAAAGTTATTTAGCAAAAGATACAAGTAGGTATTATGATGATTGGCAATAAATTTTGTGTAATTGATTGAAATGAGCTCAAAGTTGATGCATTTATAAATTCTTCTTCAGCTTTAGTTTCAAAATTGTTACTGTTTCAACTTGTTCCTCAAAAACGATGCACAAGACACTAATTTAATTGCGTTCTTTCTGAGGTTCTTTCTTATTCATGTTTATTTTGTATTCTTGTCGATTTCTTGCTAAAAATTAAGAATATTTAGCAAACCTGCATTACAAATTGCGTCTACATTTTAACGGGCCCTTTTTTTAACCTCCTGCTTGCGAACTATTCGTTTCCAAATTTCGAAAAACTGTTAGTGTACCGAACTTGTTTCTTTTTTGGTGTTTCGTCTCTAAATTTTCTTAGACGATTTTTTGTGTTGACGTTTAATGACATTGTTTTGAAATTAATTCAAAAAACCGGAACTGCCAACTTCCTTTATTAAAATTACCATGAATGAATTTACTATTATGCCAACGTTAAGACTGTTTGGCATTTCCATTTAAAAAAAACAGACTTTATTATAAACGCAAATTAGAAAAAAGTAGTAAAAACACGTAATTTTTACTAGGGATTTTAGGTTTTTTGTAGTGCAGCAGGTAAGATGACAGTTGACAGAATTTTTTTCTTCAGTTGTGTTGTGTGCGTGTACAATAATGGCTGCTACATTAACCCCAGAACAAGAAGAAGTAAGTATTTTAATTATTTTTCAGTTATTTTAATCATTAAGAGTCTCATTTAAAAGAGTGTTGAGTGAAATTATCATTTTGTGTGTAAATTACGACTCTTGAACATAAAACACGACTTTTGTGTAATTGGTTAAATTATGGAATTGTGTTTTATATTAACTTCCCACGCAAATTAGTCATTGTTGCGTTCATTTCATTGCTCAAAAATCACACTCACGATGAGATGTGATTCAGATTTTATCGACTACCTGTGGAGTCTTGTTGATATTTTTTTCTCCAACCCTTACAAAAAATAGTAATAATGACTGGAACACCTCTTTTCGAGATGAGTCTTTTACGGCCCCCGTTTTAGCCGCGGTGTTTATTTATAATGAGGACGCAAATAGAAGTTTCCGGCCCGAGTCACAACTCACTTCCTGTTTCAGGCAACGAAAGATTTCATCGAAAAAGTCAACGCGAAATATCGTCGAAAATTGGGTCCAGTTTCATGGTCTACAGCCGTTCGTTTTCTCTATGCTCGAAAATTCGACGTTCTTCGAGCTTTAGTACTTTTCGAACAACACGAATTGACACGACAACGTGAAGGCCTAACGTCTTTTGATCCACTAAAAGAACCACTTCAGTCTGAATTACTTACAGGGAAATTTACTATTTTGGTGAGTTTTTTTTTGCTTGGAGTTTGGTTATTTTTGTATAATTTTCCAGCCTAAAAGAGATGCCACCGATGCTGCAATAGCTGTGTTCACTGCACATAAACACACACCGGCAAATACCACCCATCAAGTCACACTTCAAGGTGTCGTTTATCAACTAGATGTGGCATTGCAAAATCCTGTCACACAAAAAGCCGGAATTGTGTTCATTTACGACATGTCCAATTCGAAATATTCCAATTTCGATTATGATTTGTCGCAAAAGATTCTCACTTTATTGAAGGTCAGTATAAAACGTGACGAAAATAAATGTTTTCAACTTAATCACATCCTTTATAATTGTTTCATTCAATTTAATTAGGTAAAAAGAGGTTTGTTTCACCTTGACGATGATGCAATTTTATTATTATGACTATTGTTTGTTTTAAATTCGTTATCTTTTAATTGTGTTGATAAAATTCGTTTTACTGCATTCTAAAAATAATTTCTCGATTTAGCTTAATTTAAATTCACATAGATTCAACACAAAGCCAATAATTGCATGTTAATTGTTTCAAGGATAATAATAATGATAATAACTTTATTAACGGTAATATGCTTTACATTAAGTAATGATAAAATTATAATAGAAAACAAATCACATATAAACATAATTAAAGAATACTAAATGACTAACTCAACGAAACTTTTAGACAACGCTTGAAACTATTAAAGGATTTAAAATTAAAAAAGTCCAACTTGACACTGTACATGTTACAAATTCTTTAAAGGTCATTTAGAGGAGAATTAAACAGATAATTATTGTGTGCAAACGAAATTTTGAATAATTGGTTTGATCTACTATTATACTGTGGAACGTGAAAATTAATTAAATTTAGTATTGAAGTATCATTAATCGAATTATTTAAAAGTTTATAAACAAAACATAAAGCCTGATATCTTCTTCTAATTTCAAGTGTAGAAAGAGACAAATAATTTAAGGAAATATTGTAATTATGTTGCACATAATAAGGCAGTAACCATTTTATATATTTAAAAAGCTTTAACTGTATTGCTTCAAGCCTACCAACATGAATTTTGTAATGCGGATTCCAGATTATCGAACCATATTCGAGGATTGAATAGCATTTTGATGGAATTAAAAATTAAAAATTTTTTAAATGATGAGGGTAGGTATACAGTGAGCGGCAAAATTATAGAATAATCTTATTTATTAAAACTGAAAATATTTTGTTTTGGAAAAATGCTCGAACAGGTCAATTTTCTTTTTAAAAAATACAAACTTTTTAACTTGATTTAAAATTGTATCTTTGTTTTTTATTGATATTATTTCACTTTTTGGATATTTTTTTTAAAAAAACTTTATGTAGTACATAATATTTTGGTGTTGCCATTTCGACAATTATCTATCGAATTCGCTAAAAAAATAGGAATTTCCATTAAAAAAAATGTCGCTGCCGTCATTACCCAAAAACCAAAAGGTGTAGAATTTTAAAACAAGTTGAAAATTGTGTATAAGGTGTTGTAGCGAGTTGGTAAAGTTCATTATTTAAAGAGATATAAACTTAATTTAATTAGATATCTAAGATGTGGCCCAAAGAAAATTACAATTGATGATTTCTTTTTAAATTAGTAAAAACTAAGGAAGTATCGAGAGATCAAAATAATTTGTCCTTGTATCCGAAAACGTATGTCCTGTGCGTATGTCTGTGAAACGTCAAATAAAATGACAAGTGAAAAGGTAAAATCCCATGATCAAAAAGATAACTAAATTTATGATTTACCTTCAAAAAAGAACGGTCTTATT